GTTTTGTTCGTCTGTTTCTCGTGAATTCAGTTTATGTTTGATGAAGCATGTCTGATCAGGTCTGGGCGAGGACCCTGGGGAAATTTTGTTTACGATTTCTGTTGCCAAATTCAAGTTTCATAAACTTAGGATTTACATTTAAACAGTAAAAAACAAAATTCCACTGTAAAATCCTTAATGTTGCTCTTATCCAGCTGTAACCTCAGCATTATGATTCAAACATTTATAATCTTGCCCACCACCCAAGGCAAAGGCAGTTTTTACCCATGTCTGTGTTTCTTTGTTCGTAGTGTTAGCATAATATCTCATGAATCAGTAAATGAGGGCTAAAGAAGCTCTCAAAAAGTCATAATTGAATGAACATCAACAACTTATTATCACTTGAAGTCAACACAATCCAAGATGGCTGCCACAGCGTGACTATACACACATTCCTATAACTCAGTCTATTGTAGAGATGTTGACCTAATGTTGGTAGTAGCTGAGAGTCATTCACAACACACACTCCCAACTGCTTCTCATTGCACGAGATCTTGAAGTCAATCCTGTCTGTTAGCAAAATATTGTATAAACCAGTTGACAGATTTTAATTAAACTTTCAGAAAGTAATTTTGAGTGTACTTTTACAACTGATTACCTTTTTGGAGTCAATCCAGTTCAAGATGGCCACCACAGCTACTCAACATGAGCTAACACAAAAATGGCTTTAACTCAGTCAACTTTACAGATAGTGAGTTAAAATTTGACTTGGCAGTAGCTGAGAGTTATTCACAACACGTACACAGAGCGTGACATCTCCAGATGTCACATAATTCATTTTCAAGGTTTTACCTAAACGGCTCATTTCCGTCATCTCTCGGCTTGAGATGATCTTAATTTAACCCTCCTGCTTCCTTTACGTGAAGACGACACCTAAAGCTCAGTTTGAAAACTCTTCAGGGGACATTTTGACCCAAGGGCAGCAGGAGGGTTAAAACTCGAGCATGATACTGCGTCATATGAGTTTCATCATGAATGCAAGGCTTTTAATAAATAAATACCTCATGCATAAGTGCATGCATTTCATAGCAAAGCCTTTAAAATATGTTGAAATTGTGTAGCACTGTGAAAAAACTCACAATTTGTGGAGAGTTTTTTTTCACACCCATTCCACTGTAAAATGGCTCCAAATAGGAAGCTGATGACCACAGATACTGTATCAGTGACTGTGCTGGCTGGTGTGTTTTTAACATTTGTCAAAGGGTGGATTCATTTTTTCAGAAGATAAAACTCAGCTACGCCTTCTGCCATCTCAATTTACACCAACATTAGAGTTTTCATGGGCAACACGGTGGCGCAACTGGTAGAGCTGCTGCCTCTCAGCGAGCAGGTCCCTGGTTCAAACCCCGGTCCAGGGGCCTTTCTGGGTGGAGTTTGCATGTTCTCTCCGTGCATGCGTGGGTTTTCTCCAGGTACTCCGGTTTCCTCCCACAGACCAAAAACATGCATGTTAGGCTGATTGGTAACTCTAAATTGTCCTTAGGTGTGAGTGAGAGAGTGAATTGTTGTTTGTCTCTATGTGGCCCTGTGATGGACTTGCGATCCGTCCAGGGTGTACCCCGCCCCTCGCACAGTGATTGCTGGACATGGGCACCAGCGACCCCCGTGACCCAAAATGGAATAAGTGGGTAAAGAAAATGGATGGATGGATTAGAGTTTTCATGTACAATAAACCATTGTGTGTGTATCCTGATGCATGCTCAAGATTAACAAGGTTGAGTCACGTCCTCTGGACAGATTCTTCTTTGTTGAAACGTTTCGTCTTTACCTAAAAGTCTTCTTCAGTCTGAGGAGCTGCAACAAAATCAGTCTTATAAGCAGCAACTTCTCACAGTTGATCAACAAGTCTGCTGGGGACAGCTAAAACTAGTTGTTCACATGCTCAAGAAGGACCATCAGCCTAACAATGGATCATTAGCACACTGATGGCTGTTTACTGTTCACAGAGGGCTGAGTGATACTAGCAATAACAGCATTGTAAGAGGGGGACAATTGAACCCGGAGGCCTCCACCCCTGTTTAATGATGGACAATTTCTTTTCACAAAGATGGCCTCCTTTACTTCTCTCTCAAACCATCGTTCCTCTCTGTCCAGGATGTGAACATCTTCATCCCTGAAAGAGTGACCGCTGGCCTGGAGATGAATGTAGACGGCAGAGTCCTGGCCTGATGATGTTGCTCTTCTGTGCTGGGCCATCCTTTTGGCCAGTAGCTGTTTAGTTCCCCTGATGTATGACAGCCCTCCTGACACTGAACAGCAACATCCTGGACAGAGAGGAACGATGGTTTGAGAGAGGAGTAAAGGAGGCCATCTTTGTGAAAAGAAATCGTCCATCATTAAACAGGGGTGGAGGCCTCCGGATTCAACTGTCCCCTCTTACAATGCTGTGATTGCTAGTATCACTCAGCCCTCTGTGAATAGTAAACAGCCATCAGTGTGCTAATGACCCATTGTTAGGCTGATGGTCCTTCTTGAGCATGTGATCAGCTGGTTTTGGTTGTCAGCAGCAAACTGGTTGACCCACTCTGAGAAGGTGCTATTTAAGAGACTGAGCTGAATACAGCACCTCAGACTGAGGAAGTCTTTTGGATGAAACACGAAACGTTTCTACTTTTTTTGTTTTGTTTTGTTTGTTGAATGTCCAGAGGACCAGATTTAACTTTTTTTTGAATTTTTTTACCTGGATTATTGAGCATGCATCAGGATATTTTGAACAGCATACACAACATTACTCTGTTTGTGCCGGGGGACTGGATCTTTGAGATGAACCAGTCTTCGCCGTAATGTATTTTGGGGTTTAAAAGCCACTGGGGCGCTGTGTTTAAAAAAATAAATGTCTCAGTTTCTCTGAAATTCCCGCAACAAATGGAATGATCACTGGTCTGGGTCTGGGTTCCTCCTTTTCACCTGATGGCTGACTGGAGTCCTGTTTGGGTTTCTTCTCTTTTCAGGAAGGCCCAGTTAGGATATCCACATATAGAGTCTGTCTTGTGTGGGATTTCTCCTTCTGCCTGGCTCCTGAGCTAGTGGGGACGCTGTCTGCTCTGTGATACAGAGTCCTGATGACTCCTAACTTGTGCTCCAAAGGGTGATGGGAGTCAAACTGCAAATACTGGTCTGTGTGGGTGGGTTTGCGGTACACCTCAGTTTGCAAAAGTCCTCTATCAGAGACTGAGATCTCACAGTCCAAGAAAGCCAACCTGCCATTTTTTACATCTTGTCGTGTGAACATGATATATTTATCCACAGAGTTGATGTGGTCAGTAAAATGTTGGACTACCTGAGATTTAATTTTAACCCAGGTGTCATCAACATACCTGAACCAATGACTTGGTGGTGTCCCTGAAAAGGACGTCAAGGCTCTCTACAGCAGGGGTGTCAAACCCACTTACAAAAGGGGCCAAAATTAAAACCTCTTTCAAACTAAGAGCCAGTTTCAGAATCTACATTAACTCACGTTAGATACTCAGCATCTTCTCTTGGTTGCAGTTTCCTCAACAAGAGTTTGATTGGTCTCTTTTGATGTTCTCTGCTGTGCTTTCGACATCATAATCAAAGATTACTGAAAATATTCAAGAGATAGAAGTATTTGATGTTTCACATATCATCTTGGGGGCCAGATAAGTTGACATCGAGGGCCACATTTGGCCCCCGGGCCTTGAGTTTGACACATACGCTCTACAGGTTTTCAACATGCATACAACATACATTGTGTTTGTGGTGCTTTGTTTTTCATGTTAAATGTCATTCTACATTTATTATTGTTGTCTAACTGTCAAAGTCTCCTCTAAAAATTGTTTCCTTTACTGACAAGATAATTGTGAACCAGAAATATTTTATAGGTTTATAACATGTGTGTGTAATTTTGATTAATTTTGAAGAGGAAACACATCAATAGAATGTATCAAATTCACACAGGGTTCCCCTTTAAAATGTTTTAAGCTGTTTTATTGAATACATTTACATGTTTTAGACCAGCCAGAGAACAACAAAAAATATCTCCAGGCTTCATATCTCCCGTCTTTCAGATGTTGTGTTGTATGGATTCAATTTCATAGGAATATGCACAATATGCTAACATAAAGCCAACAGGTCTAAAGCAAGGACATAGAGACCCACTTCTGAACAGGAAGTTTCCATAAAGTTTGAGCTATATTCCTGTAGACACTGTGTTTACAGAAAATTATGTTTTAAGAGTTTCTTTTAAAAAGAACTACAAATCAGAAAAAACTAAACCTAGATCTTAAAAGGTCACTCTATAAATAATCTGAAAGTATGAAGATTATATATATTTTGTATTTTACAGAATGCTCTTTTTAAAAGTTGTCATGTGTATATAAACTGGGTGTCTTTGTGGTCATGAAAAGTAAAGAAAAATTCAGAGCTTGTGGTACTTTGTAGGTCTCGATTAGTAAGGTGAAATAATATTAATAGAGTATGGAAAACATATGTGCTTTCATACAAACTTAAGAAATGCCTTTCCTTTTATTCTCTGACTGCACCCATTTCATATTGTGCAAGGTGGCATGAAGCTGCATCTTTTCATACTGCTTATAACATTTAAAATCCATGATTAGTAGTACTCATGCCTTTAGTTTTGTGTTTTAGCCATCTTAGTTTTGAGTGAAAACACGTGAGTTTTCCCCCACGTGCATGATAATACATCACAATTTTAACCAGAAGTGTCATCCTTTTGTATCCATCTTTTGTGTGCTTTGTATTTTTGTGGTGTGAGAGCAAATTTACTGTAAATAAATGGGTCACTTTTGATGGAGAAGTACAAACAGACTTAGAAATCCGAATATTCTGGGTTTTAGAAGAACTTAAAAAATGGAAAATATGTAAGAATATTGTTCAAAGTATCTGTCTATATTAATACGCAATCTGAACAAATGACACAAGAACAGATGCTGCAAACCTCTGGCATCAAGTTAGCTACTTCCTCCGCGCATGCGCATATTAGGCAACAGACGGGCTACTAAACTGGTCAAACAGCGAGTGTAAAAATGGTAGGTAACCAAAATAAACACAAACCCAGACATTGGTTTTAGTGTCATGACGGCTTTATTTTCAGGACTGTTGTCACCTTTTTTAAGTGCATGATGTGGCGCGCTTTGTCAACTTTACTGAGATCAGTTATTTCTTTTCGTTGCTTTACAGGGAAGGTCAATTGATATTTTGAGAGCAGCTAGCATTAGCTACTCGTCCCTGTTTGGCAGTCTGGTAACTTCGGCTGCTAGCAGGTCAACCGCTGCACCTCGAAGACAGACACACACAGGGTTGTTTGAGTGAAACACCGGCTTATTAATAATAAAACTGACAGTCGTATCCCGACATTTCATTTAATAATAATTATGTCAGTCCTGTACCTTCAAGCTAACTCGGCTAACGTTAGCCAGCCAGCAGTAGACAAAGCTAACCTGTCTGATAGCTCAGTCAGGGATGTTAGAAAAGTACACAGTACAATTATTTGACTTCATGTGTCTTTAATATTATGAATCTGTAAAGTCGTCGGTGCTGTAGCTAGCAGCTCGTTGAACTCTTGAACTTTTATTCTCCGTGTTCAAGAAATGTTGCTGTTTAAAAGGGTCCAAAAGCTGCAACTGCTTCAAAACATGGCTTTGAGATTTACTTTTATATGTTCACCACGTCATTTGCACGTGTAGATGTCCAGTTAATTCATTTGGAGTTGGAAACGTAATGTAAAGTCAGCACAATTTTCCACAGCTAAGGTGCCTTCGTCAGGTTAAGTCCACCTTTATATTCCAATACTTGGAAAAAGAAACACTTTTTCTTTTCCATGCGTTCTTTAAAAATACTACGTTAAACTGCAACAGATTGTTATTGATGAATTAATGTCAGCAGCTATTTATTATGTAAGGTCTGTGTTTGGAAACCAGATTCATCTGTAGCTTAGAGTCATAATAAATCTAACCTAGTATTCACTTAAGTAATACCATTTGGTTGCTTCCTTGCATGCATAAGTTTGAAACTACCGTAAGACCTTACCGGATCTCTTGGCACTCAAAATCTGTCTGACATGACATGACTATCAGCATCAACAAATTTTAGCTGAATATCTGTATTACTGACTGAGTTATAGCCATTTTTGTGTTGGCTGTTGTACATAAGATGCTGCAGTCGTTTTGAACTACATTAACACCTTTCATGGCTTTGGGCGCTTATACTGTCTTTAGAGTCAAGTTGCTGCTTTTAAATGAATATATTACAGTCTAATGATGTCACTTGAATAGCTCTACATTGAATTTACCCACCGTGCCTTCATACAAAACTAATGCACCCATGTACACACATCAGTGTTAATATCATGTTATTGTTTAGAGTACGTCTACGTCATTTAATTTTATTTTTAGTTTTTATATTTCTAGGTATTTTGGTGGAGGGCTTGCATTACACTCCAGACTTTTTGCACCTCTGGGTTCTCGCAATAGCAGCTCATTTCCATACTCATGTTACCTCTTTGACTGTAGTTATCTAAGGGGCTCTCAGAGGTACAGCATGTGCTTTGAGTGTCATCCCTCTTCAGAAAAGCCCATGTTGCTTTTGGATAGGATATAATTACTCCCATCTTGCTTTGGCTCATTTTGTGTAATGTGTGTGTTGGTGTGACCCTTTGAAGTGTGGACTTCTGAGTGTCTTGTGTTTTCTGTTCATCCTTCCCATTGCCTGAATGCCTGTAGATGTTTATGTTTTGTTTTGTGTGTTTGTGTTGCTGTCTGTGTTTTCTGGGCTGATAGCTATGGTGTCTGACAGTCACTGTCCTAACTTTGCACAGCATAAGCTGAAGTCTTCGCAGAGGGACAAGGTACGGCAGTTCATGTCCTTTACACAGGCTGGGGAGAAGACAGCTGTGTACTGCCTCACACAGAATGACTGGAAACTAGAAGTTGCGACGGATAACTACTTTCAAAATCCAGAGCTTTACTGTAAAGAATCCATGAAAACATCAGTGGACCGGAAAAAGCTGGAACAACTTTACAATCGCTATAAAGGTAAGCACAATAAAATCAGATCCGGACCTTTAATTGTATAAATTGCATAACTTTTAGGTTGATCCCAAAATGTTTACCTGGAGTTATTGGCTGCACTTTGTTTATGAAGTGTAACTGATTTCTTTGTCTCTATAGATCCCCAGGATGAGAATAAGATTGGTATTGATGGGATCCAGCAGTTTTGTGACGACCTCTCGCTGGATCCAGCCAGCATCACCGTGCTGGTCGTTGCGTGGAAGTTTCACGCCGCCACTCAGTGCGAGTTCACTAAGAAGGAGTTTATGGATGGAATGACAGAGCTGGGGTGAGTGTTGAAATCAACAACTTGTGACAAACCTAAAGTGTTTCCACATGCTGCTTCTCTTAATGTAGCTCCAGGAAGGAATGGCTGGCTAATTATAGACTGACCCACACTCAGGATATTCTGTATAATTGTGCAATGACTTAAAGTTCACGCATCCAAGTCCGTTTTAGCCGGCTTGCATTTAGCATCAATGCGGTCGTGTTCCAGCTGGTTAGAGCATGTCTATGTGATTACTTTTTTATTTTGAGTACTACAGTGTATGTTGTTTTGCTTGTTTTGTCTCAGGTGTGACAGTCCAGAAAAACTGAAAGCCATTTTGCCAAGATTAGAGCAGGAGCTTAAAGACAGTGGGAAGTTCAAAGACTTCTACCAATTCACTTTTAACTTTGCCAAAAATCCTGGACAGAAAGGTCTCGGTAAGCAGAGGGAAACTAATAATGATGATTTGTTAGCAGATGATTTTGATTTATGGATACATGAAAAGAAATGTTCCTGCTTGTGTTGCAGATTTAGAGATGGCCGTAGCCTACTGGAACCTGGTTCTGTTGGGACGATTTAAGTTCCTCGATCTTTGGAATAGATTTCTTTTGGTGAGTCAGAAACACAGATTTTGAATTTAATAGATTTTCTGGTTATTGTTGTTGTCAGGCAGAAACGGTCCATCTGCAAAAACACAACTTTCAGGGAGTTAAAAAGCAGCCTTGTTCATTTGAAGATAAATAAGCTTTGTAATTACTTTGTATTTGTCTGCTTATATCATCAGATAATTGGACAGATAATTACAGGCCATTATGTTTTATAAATGTGTGGATTCTTGTGCAAAAACAAAACTGTTCTTATTTGAGCCAGCTTTGTTCTTAAGAAGTAAAGCAGCTCTTTTGTAAGCTCACTTGAAACAAATGGCATAAAGTTTCTGCCGTAAGCTCTTTTTGATACTTTTTATTTGCCAATCATCCACAAAACATTGATTTATACAAAAACATAAGAATAATGAAAGAAGCCAATACTTGCTTTTTGCCTAACAGCAATGCTTTACTCATAATAAGCAGTTCTTAAAGTTAAAGTAATCTTTGGCTTGATGTGAACTTATTTTAAAACTAATTTTAAATAAAGGTGCTAGTTATCTTTTCCCATTTTGTTATTTGTAAGTTACTTTAGATTGCAGCTGGATTGGTTGAAGTTTGAAGAGATTATCTGGACAAAAATGTTACTATTAGTACAGATAGTTGTGATTTATTCAGTGAAAGATGAACAACAAACTTCATTTATAGCTTTCTTTCTGTTGTTAATTTGGTTTACTCTTTACTAACTTTGTCAAATGTTTTATCAAGTTCTGTCAGGCATCTTGGGTTTGATTTATAAACTTTTTCTTTATAAGTGACAATTATTTATGTGTTTTTTTTGTAATTCTAAAGCGGAACCTGCAGCATACTTTTGTGGAGGAAAAAAAAGAAGCCATATGCTCAAAAACAAGATTAGTATGGAAACGCTTCTCTCAGCTTGTGTGTCTTTGGATAATCTGAGTAGAGTTAAAACTGGAATTAGGTTTAATAAAAGTAAAATGAAATAAAAATGCTTTGTTGAACTGCACAGAAAGACCCTTTTTTTATACACCCACTGAAAGGTGGACGTAGTCCCTGTACGTTCATAAACTTTTTTTCTTGTCTGGCCCATAATAACCACTGATCCACAACAAGTTAATCTAATGATATTTCATACACTTATGCATCATCACTAGACAAAGACACTTTTCATCACTCCAGCTCTTAGATCAAGGTCACAAATCAAGGTCAAAGGTTATACAAAGGGGCTTGTCTGGGCCATTGCTACAGATTGCTGTATTACTGTACAATAGTTTGTTGTTTGAACTTATAATGTGCCGTATGTTGTACTCCTGTTGACATAATGCAGCAATAGAAATAGTGTGAAGCTTAAGACTTTGTGCTTCCAGCTCATTTTGATATTTATTCATTCTCGTGTCGAAAACTCGTCATCAGTGCCCAGTGATTAATAAACCACACTTTTGGTTTGTGTCCCGGTGATATGGTGACAGAATAATTTACTTTACTACTATATCACACAGAAACATTCAGATAACGATGCTTCTAAAGTTTGTTGGTTACTATTAAGAAGTCTGATTTAAAAAAAATGAAATGTCAAAAAGGGGGAAAGATAAACAAACAAACAACAGACATCACAGTAGATGTAGCGAAGAGATCGAGAACAACGCTAAAGACAAAATTAAAGCAGAATACTAAAAACCTGAACAAGGATAAAAATCAGACTAGCTTTTTTCTTGGAGAAAGCTAAAAACAATATATGCTAATGTTTTTTTTTTTGTTGCATTTAAAATAAAACGTTTTTGCCTTGTTGAGAGTTTTATTGTGCTTCATTGTAGCAGTAAAATTGTTAATAATATAATTAGCTATCAAGTTGACAGCGTTTGCTGTTTGAACATCTAGAATTTGTCAGCAAACACGACAGCAATGTTTTTTGCTTATGGAGCAGGAAAAAATGGAAATTTCCTCTGATGTATCCAACGAGGAAAAACTGTAAAAGCCAAACTTTTCAATATTTATGCAAAACATTTCTATTCAAATTCAACGTATCATATTGGTACACACTGACTTTATTTAACCACGTCGGTTGTGTTTCAGACTAAATGTGAATAAATATTCTCATTTTAAAAACTTCTTGGTCAGTTTTTGTAACTAATGCCGTGGCGTATGAAGCTTACAGCCTTTTAAAAGACTCTCCAGGTTTTAAATGAACTCTACCTGTTATGAAGAGAAGTTCGGTCAAATATCAGTCCTGAATTATACCAGAAATGTGTTGGTGATACAGAGAGACTGTGGTCGAGGTGCAACTTGCTACAAGACATTTAACCAAATAGTTTTTTTAAATTGTTTTATTTAACCTTTATTTATACAGGTAGTCTCATTGAGTCATGAAGGCTCATTTTTTAGAGAGACCTGCAGATGGTGGGGGTTAAGGGCCTTGCTCAAGGGCCCAAATAGTAGAGTTTTGGGGTATGTAGTAATCCCTCGTTCATCGCGGGGGTTACGTTCCGGACACCCCCACATTATGTGAAAAACTGACGTAGAAACACTAAATTTATTTTAGTATTTTTTTTATTCCACACTTGGGTTCAGTTGACAGTTCTGAGTTGAAACCACAAAACAGTCCAGTCAACTAATAAATTTAAATCAACTAAACTGAAGCAAATGTTTATGCAGCAAGAGTTTATTAATCCAGAAAACATGTTTATTCACTCAACTTGAAATGTTAAGTTGAGTAGTGAACAGTAGCTGGTTCTGGTTCTACAGACCGACCCTGCAGTGACGAAGCCCACAATGTTCTAAACTCTTAAACCTACGTAATTTATCAACATGCATATATTTACTGCACAGTACTGCAACATTTTACTCACCAGCTCTGCAGAACACAGCAGCTCGGTTGCGGTCCGGCTTGGTTCCGATTCGGCAGACCTACCCTGTCGGTTCTGGTCTGGTTCTGGTCAGCTCTCTGCATCCACTGGAGACCGAAGTAATTATGAATAAGAACTGAACTTTTTCAGATTGGATCAAAACTTTCCCTCCATTTCAGCAGAAAGCAACGGCTAGGAACCGTTGGGACTTCTGGGAAATGTAGTCCTTTCAAGTGGCGATACAATGTAGGCTTATTGAGAGAAAACTACAAAATAGCGGTGCCTGTCCAAAGTATTTTTTCGTTAACTTTTTACTGTATTCCGTACTGTCCCATACACATGAGTAATATTAAAGTTGACAATAGTGTGTCATGTACAATCTCTTATTTTTTCATTTTTTCTTGTGTACAATCATTGAAAAACCGCAAAAGAGCGAGTCCGCAAAAGTTGAATCCCGAATTAGGGAGGGACTACTGTATTTGAGCCAGTAAACATAATTAGACACTTTGTGGATTAGAGAAACTCATGACAGTCATCTTGTCATTTCATCAGCTCAGATTAAGATTTGTTTTATCAACTCCAGGGCTGCAGGGGGAGTTCAAGGAGCGTGCCAGTCTGTTGATCTTTAGTCCTTCGGGACATGACAAAGTGGTTAAATAGAAGACAACTGAACAAGAGATGTCCGTTTGTCTTCTTTTTAAATACTTAGGATTAGAGCTCCCTGTTCGAAGAAGAGAGGTGTATCATTTGGGTTGGGATTATCAAGTGACTGATGCATCCGAGCTGCACCTCTGGCTGCATGTTCACCGGTTCGTTTTCTTTACAGGAACATCATAAACGATCCATCCCAAAGGATACATGGAACTTATTGTTGGACTTTGGTAACATGATTGCAGACGACATGTCAAACTATGACGAGGAAGGTAAGTCTGTCACACATCAGGTGTCTCTCTCCTTACGTCTCTGATCCGCTGACGGTAACGATGCTTGTTTTGTCCCCCCCGCAGGTGCGTGGCCCGTCCTTATAGATGATTTTGTGGAATTTGCTCGACCGATTGTTACAGGATCAAAACGTAAAACTCTCTAAATCTAATCCAAACTCTGGAACACCGGAACATTGTTTCTTTTACAGCGACTTCATAGTTTTTTTTTGGTCTTGTTGTTTTTTTTTTGTTTCTTTGTTTTTGTTTTTTAAGACTTGTACAATACAAAAAAGTGAAAACTGTAGACTTCAGAGAGAAATCAAGCACTTGAAACTGTCAGGAGTCCGTGGTTCAGGGAGCTGGGGTGGAACCTGCGAGAACAACTGGCCACGTTTGCTGTCCTCTTGAGTCTGAGGCATCGTATGGACATTGCCAGATTCTCGGTACCCTGGACGCCCACCCCTCACCCCTGCGCTCTGCTCCAGGAGGAGCACAAAGAGGACGCGGCTCTGAGAGGAGGTTCACCCGCTGCGTCTGCTCCCAACGGACTGGACAGAGGAAAGCTGTGTTTTAAGATTCTTCCTAGTCATCTTTGAATATTCGAAGCTCTGAGTGACTGTGCAAACATCCCATGTCTTACTCCAACCTCGGGACCGAGTGCTCACGACACCAGCACCAACAGAACTGTTGCAGTTTTTAACTGTACATACTGTATCTAAATGGGACGGTTTACAAAGAGAGCTATAAGAAGAATAATATAAATATGATCCGTTTATAAATGCAAAAGATGATTGTTTTATGTACAGTAAATGCTAAGCTCTCTAACGGGATGCCTCAATATCGTGGAAGATGCGCTGTTGGTTTAATCGTTTGGTGGAATTGTGAGCATCTCATCAAAAGCATGTTAAAACTCGTTTTACGTCACCTCAGACTGGTTTAGAAATAAATTGTCACTAAAAGGCCGTGCTTTAATTTAGCTAATCAGTATTGATTTGTGTACTCATTTGTCTGAATAATCTCAGTTAGGAGTGGCTGTAAATGTAATATAGTTACGTCTTTTCCACTCTTTCTTTAAAAAAAAACTTTTATTTTTTTTATTCAGGTAATTGAGGATTTGTTTCCCCACACACACACAAGTGAAAGCATTTAATTCCACTTTAAATTAAGAGATGACCAACTTTTGGGATTGCATGGCACACGTACGTGTATGTTCCGCGGCGAGGAGTCGACACAGTTCAGTCGGGACACTGGGGGGGCGATAACAGGACGACAGAGGAAGCCTTAAGATTAAAAACCTGTCTAACATTCACGCTCCTGTTCCACCCCGTCTGCTCAGTGTTTCTGAAGGAAGTGAACGTCAGACTTTTACTGTTCATCATGTAAGTAGCATAAGTATATCGCTCATCAAAGAAAGGTGAATAAAGCATGAGTTTTTCCATAATTGTTTATTTATCTTGTTTGTTGGCAACACTAAATGTCCCGATGCTAAACAGGATTTTTTTTTAAATAGCTGAAAGTATTTTTCTTTAGCCAGAAATGATCTTGAAGTTGATTTTGTGCCATTAATTTACCTTCTTTATTTGTTTTTGATGAAGTTACTGGATGGCTTTATTTTATTCTAAAATATTAGGTTTACTAGTTATTAACTGAAAATCTGTTTAGACAACTTGCTGCACTAAAGTGCAAAAATATATTCCTCAATGTTTTGTACACATTCTTTGTGTCTCCTTATGGAACAAATCATGCTGAGGTTTTTTTTTGTTTGTTTGTTTGTTTTGTTTGTTTTAAAGAATTCTTACTAATGAGCAAATTGTTCTCCATGTTTATTGACCATATTTCATAATTTTATTGCCAATGTTCATAACATTGAGTTTAGGTGATGGTCTGCTGTAGAGCTGCACAAAATATCCAAAATATATCCATACCTGAAAGGATTTCAATAAAATTGAGCCATGAACATATTAAAAATATTAATTTTCCCAACAGATAATCCATTAAAAGTGGCAGCACATGGAGAGTTTTGTGACTATTGTAACAAAACGTAAAAACAAATTGCATGTTTTCCTAGAATTGTGCAGCTTGAGTAGAGATATGAACAGTTATTATCTTACCTGTTGCAGACAGCGGTTCGGATGACCTCAGTTTGGAGAACTGAAGCCTGAAGAGCCGACGGTTCATTTGAGAGAGGCCGAAACTAAAGTGAATTTCTGCCTTCTAACAACTCCATTCCAAAAATGTTCATAAGATTCATATAAAGGTTGCTTCATAAACATTTACGTCACTGTCAGTTTCTCAGTTCATGATGTTATTTACAAGAACAGATCACAATAAGTAATGTGAAGTTATAGTGTGAAGATTTGTGTGAGAAGAAAAAGTTAAAAGTATTTGATCCTTAAGTTTAAAAAAATATATTTAGAAGTTGTCTAAACAGGTTAGAGATGTTTTTCAGTCTTTTGTTTATCATAAACAATAATTTAAAGATGCTAAAGTATTTTACACTCCGTATTTTGTGTGTTTTCTTTGTATTACAGTAGTCCCTCGTTATTTCGCGTTTTGTTTATCGCGGACACGCTCTATTGCGCTTTTTCAAAATGAAATTGGACATGACACACAATTTGCTGATTGATGGATGAGCTGCACGATCGACATGAAATTTTTATTTAAAATAAATTATTTTAAATTATTTAGCACCTGCTGCACCTTTGTGCTGCCCACACTGCAGGATAAACTTCCTGCTGCAGCTGATCAGCTGACCTCCATGCAGAGTGGATAAGTGGGTGTGGCCAAGAGCACTTGCTGGTGGCAAAGAGCAGAGGAGGCAGGGAGCTGAAATCAGGACATTCTGTGCTCTTAGAGTTTAGAAACATTGTTTAGAATATTGCAAGAGTGTGGGAAGGGTTTAAAACTCATATATATATGTATATATATATATATATATATATATACAAATACTAAAACTTCTACTTGTACTAATATTCGTACTTCGTGGTTTTTCACTTATAGCAGGGCTTCAGGGTACGGATCCCCCGCAATAACCGAAGGACTACTGTATTTTTAGCTGATTGTAATAATTTGCAAATGTTTACATTTGATACAACTTCCTGTTTAATGTGTGGCTCCATTATTCCTGCTGACCAAAAAAAAAAAACAGTTCAAGTTAAACTGTATACAGAGCAGGGATATCATCTGACATTTTGATTAGAAAAATGCAGTTTTATGTATTTTTTTTATAAGCTTTGACTCCAGATTCCAGGTGTCTGTTGTCAAATCTGTTCTTGGAAAGTATTTCAACATTTTGAAGGGATTAGAAAACATCCATTTCTGAACTTTAAATTAATTCCTAATGTAGGTCCAGTTCTGCTATAGCCCTTGAAATGCTCTGATATTTGAAGCTTCTGCTTCTCTTCCTCCAATTGTTTTGTGTGCAAATAAAGCCTGCACCTGTGGATGGTACCTGTCCAGCTGGCTCCGCCCACCTCTGTAAGGTGAGACTAAACCTGGGGCAGCTTTTGTTATTTACCCTCACAGCCGCCTGCTCCTCTTCAGCCAGCTGAGATGGAATAACCTTGTTGCGGCGGCACAAAATGGAGAACGATGTGAAAGGTGGCACTGAAGCGAGTCCAAACGACAGCCAAAGGTAAACTGAATATTTCTTTGATCTCTGTGTTTTAAAAGAAATACTTTCTGTTTTTTGGTTCTCTTGTTCAGGTGACCTTTTATTTGCATCAGCTTCCCTTCTCGTCAGCTCACTGTGTTTGTTTTACAGTGTCTATTTGCAAATCTCATTAAAAGGCTTCACTATTTATGGAAAAATACAAACACATCTGTGAATTTCACACGCATTATTCGTCCGACGTAATTCGACGCCGAGCTCTTCATTCAGCCTGGGCATTTGATCACCTTGACACAGGAGCAGCAGCAGTGGAGGAGGCTGTACGGCTCAGCTTTATGCATTTATTTGGGGAGGGTTATGTTTTACAGGATTGATCCCTACGGCTTCGAGAGGCGAGATGATTTCGAGCCTTACAAAGAGATGATGAACGAGTACGTGGCCGTCCTCAACAGAAGGTCAAAGAGATGGTCCAAACTCCTTCAAGACAAGCCCACTGTTGAGAAGAACATCACAGGTGCAGATCAACACACACGCTGAATTTATAGCTGCTGCTCTGAGACGGTGTGCGATCTGTTCGAATCTGTTCTCACAGTGAAGAGATACGTGCGTAAAGGCGTGCCCAACGAGCACCGTGCCAAGATCTGGATGGCAGCGAGTGGTGCTCAGGAACAACTGGAGGCTAAACCTGGTTATTACCAATCTCTGCTGGAGATGGAGCATGACGCCAAGCTGAAGGAAACCATCCACACAGGTGGGACCAAAGTTCAATTCAGCATCAACATTCCTACTTTCTATTACACCTCCAACCCTGTGGTATTTCCTTTATTTGTGGCAGACATGCATCGAACCTTCCCTGACAACATCCTCTTTAAGAGTCGAGCAGAGGAGGGCCTGCAGAAGGCTCTGTACAACGTGCTGCTGGCATATGGACACCACAACCAGACCGTGGGCTACTGTCAGGTGGAGCAAATACTTCATTCTCCTCTCACTTCTCTCCATGTCTGATCAGCAGCAACTTCCCTTAATGAAGCGAACATAAATGAAGCTGTGACTGAAGTGCTCAGATTCAGCTTTAATTCCAGCAAAGAGTAGTTGAACCGTTTGGAACTGCAAACAAGATGTTGCCTTTGTTCAAAGAAATATAAATATACTTTAAATACGTCTTTAGGTGTTGACTTTTGAGCTTGCCGTCAATCGGATAAGGGTGGACTGCTCCCCAGGTTGTGAGATTCTTCCTCAAGAGGAGGAGTATGTTCAGGTTTTGTTCATGAATCACGAGTGCGGGAAGAATGGAGCGCGAGATGACAGACGCATCAGTGCAGCGTCCGCAGTATTGCCTCTGTGCCGGTCCGTTGTGGTGAAGACGGAGCTGAGCTGTAAGATGGAGCTCTCTGTTGACCGGTCAGTCTATGTTCCTACCCTCGCGTATGGTAAGGATGCTCCTCAGGGAAGTTTTCCAGGCATGTCAGACTGGGAGGAGACCCTGGTAATGACCCTGGATGTCTCTTGGCTGGCCTGGGAACATCTTGGTATCTGCACAGAAGAGCTGGATGATGTGGCATGGCATGGCATGGCATGGATGTTGATTTTTGTCCAGTCATATACCTGTTAATACCTCAAAGATGTTTAAAGGACTGTGAAGTGGCCCCCTGCAGTCTGAACACACCATTTCTGCCAGAATAACTAAATAATGGAAAATCAACAGAGATGTAAAGGTTTACTTAAAAAGAAGAGAAAATAAACTTTTTCAGAAACCACTATGAAATTTTTAAGATTAATTTGGCAGCAATCCACTCTGGGCTTGCCCCGCTCAGCCAGACATTAATTATTATTTTCATCATTTGAAGTGGTCCAAAGAAAGATCTGCGACAAACAAGATACTGGTAATAATGGACTTTTCTTGCAGCGTCCAGCTTCTACTTTAGTTTTGTCTTCAGGAAGTGAAACATGCGTTCAAGATAGATTGTTGTCAGGTGATTTCCAGGTTAAAGTCTTGATTTGATTCTGTTTTGGGTCAAAACATATATATATTATTACTGGTAAAGGCCTAACATTTTTTGAAGGAATACATATCACCTTTTGTCTTTTTGTGCCAGAGTGACAACAAGACAAAGTTACAGAGTTTTGGTCAATCCTTGTAAATATCATGATGCGTGATCTCGTTCCAAATCATAAGATGTTTCGTGATGCTCATCAAAGGTTCAAACAAAGATGATGCACAATCTGTTAGCGCTCAGAGTAAGTTGTGAACAACTCTCAGCTACTACCACACCTAATATCTGTCAAACTGATCAAGAAAGATCAATTATTTGGTTGTTTAGCTGAAGTGACCGTCTTACACACCATAGTTTCTCAGCTCCCTTTTCTTGGCCGTTGTCTTTCCAGCAACTTAAAATTAGAATTATTTGTTTTTGTTTCATATTAAATTGTCTAAATAAAAAACGTACGCACAGAACTTTATGTCACTTTAACAAGTTTGTTGTTGGGACAGAATAATTTCTACCTTGTTTTGTTCTCTTTGATTGTGTTTGTTAAACTCGGCAATCCAAGTTATTCATTTTATTTTTATTGTTTTTATTTTTCAGGGAATGAACTTCATTGCAGGTTATCTCATGATCATCACCAAAGATGAAGAGCAATCCTTCTGGCTCATGGATGCACTTTTAGGTCGAATACTCCC